GAGGAGGAGGAACGAGGAAGGAAAATGGAGGAAGGAGGAAGGAGGGAGGAGGGAGGGAGGGAGGGAGGGAGGAGGAGGAGGAGGAGGGAGGAAGCAGGGAGGAGAGAGCAGGGAGCAGGGAGCCAGGTGGAGGGAGGACGCAGGAGGGAGGAGGGAGGAGGCCATTTTTTTTTCTCGGTCGAAGCCATTTCGCCAAGGACGCCCCTCGGGGCGGTCATGCGCCCCGCCGCGAGCGCCACCGCCCTACGCGGGCATCCGGGCCTGCGCAGCAGGGGCGCCGGGGAGGGGCGCTCACGCCGCTCCCCATCACGCGTGCGGGCCGGCAGCGGGAGTAGCGCGCGCCGCGGACGCGCGCGCGCTGCACGCCCACGCGCGGGAAGCCAGCCCCACCACGCGCACCCGCGCTGCCAATATGTCCAACTCGGTCGTGTCGCTGAGGGCCCAGGTAACCACGTCGTCATGCGGGCACGCTGCGCGCAACTCCGCCACAGCGGAGCATGTACCCAAGAGGTGGCGTAGCCACTCCGCCAGCGAACGCCCCGAGGGCGCCAGCACCGAACACAGCGGGCACGCGGCCGGATTTTGGCGGCGAGCGCGGGGGGGAAATGAGAAGGGGCGGGCCTTCTCAGACGGCTCGGATGTCCCCAGGCCTTCTGAGAAGCTTTCTAAGCCTTCCCCGAAGACAGAGACAACTTCTCAGAAGGCGCGAGGGCTTCTGAGAAGTCCGACCGCCTTCTGAGAAGGCCTTCTCCTTCTCACTTCCCCCCCTCGCTCGCCGCCGAGGATTGCACCCCACCCCCTCGGCCCACCACACCTCCACGGGGAGCCTCCCAGCCACGCGGGCCAGCGACCACGCCTGGAAGAGGCGCCACATAGACCTGCTCCAAGGCGCCCAGCGGATGCCAGGTGTCAGCGGCTCCCGCACAGGCAGCAGGTCATGGTACGGCACCACGCCCTCGTTGTTCAGCGCCGCCAGCTGTAATACGAACCACCGCTGCTCGTGGGCCCGCACGGCAGGTACCACGAACGTGCGCTTCCACTGCTTCACGGCCTTGCGACGCGTGTCCGCGCACGCGCGCGCGGTGGACAACATGTCCTCCACCGGGAAGTCCACGGTGATACCCAGCGACCTGGTGACATCCATGGCGTGGTCCAACCATGTGGCCCCCGTCGTAACCCGCGTACCTGCCACCACCTGCGCCACCGGGCTCGTCGCGGGCAGCGCGAGCAAGCGCGCCCGTGCCAGGACGATGCGCTGTAGGAGGGCGGCCCCCCACCGAGTAAGCATGCGGGTCTCGGCCAGCGCGCGTACGTGTCCGCCGTCGCCCAGGGCCAGCTCCGAGCCGCTGCCCACCAACAGCATCTTGGTGACCTCGTACTGCACCCGGTTTAACTGGGTAGCCGCGGCCTGCCACCCCTTCGAGTAGCTGGCCAGGAGCTCCGCCCCGTAGAAGGCGGGCGCCTCTACGCGGGCAGGGAATTGCGCTACCTGGTAAGGCAACCCAAACCCGCTCTGCGAGAGAGCAGCAATGAGCTTGCGAGCGCTGCCCCGCAGCCTCGAACACACGCGTCCCCAAAGCGAGTGGAAAGTGAGATCCGCCTCCACGGGGATACCTAACATGTCGAGCGAAGGAGCTAGACCAGGAGGTACACCGCATACTTCCCCAAACAAGGTGTCGGCCTCCCGGGGGGTCCGACGGCCATGACCAGCGGTCGCTTGCGCCCGCCTTGGAAACGGTGGCGCCAGACCTGGCAGAACTGTGTCGGGGCATTGTTAACCGCCGCCAGGCCAGCAGTAGAGGACTGGAACATGAACGAATCGTCAACGAACTGGAGAATCAGCAGCCAGTGGCCTGCAATCGCGCCCAAGAAAGCGCACCTGTCCGCGCCCGAGGCCAACGCGCGAAAATGCTGAGGCCAGTCAGGAATCCCACCCAGCGCGCGCGCACGGTGTACTTCCGTTTGAACTGCCGTCCAAGAAATAGCGCGCCCCGCGGGCGGGGGGGCACGCTCGTTGTACACGTGGAGAGCTCGCGCGGCAGCCGCGGGCGGGTCGATGCCAACGCCAATTGCCGCTGCCGTGCACCCATCGATCAGAGCCCTGACGAGAGCGCCGAACAAGTGCACGCCCTGCCGCCGACCCTGACCGACCCCAAAGCCAGAGAGCTCGGCTGCCGCCCCCACCACGCTGCCGATGCGCACCCGGAAACGCTCCGCCCCCAATGCCGCGTCGGCGAAGAGCCATAGGTGACCCTTCAGGCCTGCGCGCCGAAGGTGCAGGCGGACGCCGCCCCTCCAGGCCAGGTCATACCCGTGCTGCAGGTCCGCCTTCTCGACCCATGTTGGCAGGCCGTGCGCACGGCGAATCTGTAGTGCCATAACCATGCCAATGACCATGAGCACCGCGTCATACTTCCCACCCGCTTGGGGGTCCCCCGAGTGCTCTTCCAAGCGCGCGCGCAGCCTCCAACCACAATGCGTCGAACAGGCCGCGCAACTCGTCCGCGTAGCTGACCGGCCTCAGGTTGGCGACGTCTGCCACGACGGCCGGGCCGCGTTTGCGAATCGGGGCAACCTCGCGCATCCAGCCGTTCGGAACCACGGCGGCCACTGTCACCAAACAGACCAATGCCCAAGTGACCAGGCGGCCGCCGCACAGGCCTGCCAGGACGGCAGCGCGAGGAAGGCGAAGGGCACGGCGGTTCGCCTGCAACTGCCTCAAGACTGCGTCGATGTCCTCCGGGTGGAACGGGTCCGAGTCCCCAAAGGCAGCCGACTCGAAGTTGGCTTCGCGACGAATGCGGCCGACCTCCAGCTCCACCTCGCGATTGAAGGTCGCGTCGCCGTCCCCCGCCTCCAGGCCACGCGCCAGGACGCCAACGGTAACGATGCCCAGCGCATCGGCTACGCCGAGCAAGGCGCCGGAGAGAGGATCACGAAGAGCCAGTTGGACGGGCGCGCGCGGGTTGAGGGTCTGGCTCAAGAACGCCTCCGCGTCGCCCGGCGCCACTGCTGCAAGTTCGAGGTAACGGTCCAAATGCTTCGTGGCGGCTTTCGCCGCCGCCGGTGCAATGGCGTCTGCTGCAGCCAGCGCGGCCACGGCTTGCATTTCCCCCGGCCACTCCTCGCACTCGACCGTAGCCGAGACCGACGGTGCACCAACCCCCCGCGGCGGC